ACGGTCTGCAATTCCTATCAAGTAATTATGGCGCTATGGTACCATATACATTCAATGTAAATTTCAGTTTCATCTTTTTGATCATTTATGTTTATCGGGACAAAAACAGTCCTGAAAAGTGAAAACAACGACATGATGAGATTGTCTGTTGAAGTAATATGGTAGTTGTTAGTTAGCTTTACATTTCTTGTTGGACTACTTGGTTTATTTGCTTTCATATCATGCAAGAAAGATTTGTGTGTATATAAGAACGTCCGAGGGAAATGAAACTTGGAGTTGTCGGTTAGTTATTGACCGCAGATTAAGCAATGTCAGAAAGAAAGTAAGGGCGTGCTAATGTGCTAAAAATGTCCTGATAGATTTTTATTTATCGTTGCGAGGTGTAATATGCTAAACATGACAAACTTTGTCCCCTCATAAACACCCGACAAGTTTATAAGAGCAATTTAAACCCGTGAGAGGTGTCAAGACTGCCATAGAAGAGGGAGGGGGGAATTCATTGCTAAGGTTAGTTGATACTAATCAAACATGTGACATCAAACGTTCATCATGGTCGACGTTTTGATATTAAATCAACACAAAAATAATATATATACAACGAGTGATTGTTTTTGGAGAACGAAAAGAATGCACAGAACAGAATCACCACCTCGAGGCTATTGTGTTGAAATAAATCAACATGATAATACATTCAAAAACATAAAAGCAACAGACACCCTATCTTTTTACTTATATCGATCTAACTTAATAAGATTATATATATATTTACTCTTGATCTCTAATTTTTGTTGTTGTTAGAAGATAACAGACCTAATACGATAAAAGAAAATTAAATAATTTATCCTTTTAAACTAGGACCAGTATAGCCGATTGCCGAACCACATTTGTTTGACGAAAAACGGTTAAATAATTTACCCTTTTAAACTAGGGCGATTATGGCATAACCACATTTGCATTCAAACATATTCATTCTGCCCAATTTTCTCTCTTTCGCGAATAAGTTGAAACTTGAAACTCCATTGACTCGGAATGTTCTCCATGAAACTTGGGGGCAAGTTATAAAAATAATCTATGCCCAATAATTTTTTTAAAAATGGGGGAAGTAGCTAGACGCAACCAAATGCCCCAATTTATGGACATAATATTGTGTGCACATGGACGATGGGAATTATAGCTATAGCTAGGGAGAAAGGATGTTGGATTTCCAGTTTGCCTGGAAAATATTTATATACTTTGGTGAATTTAGAATTGAATCCAATTTGGTTTGACTGTTGGGTTCGGTTAACTGTACCAAAACATCGTCGTTAGAAATAAATAATCGAATTAGTCAGTTGTCCAAAACCAAAATCGGTAAGGGCTTACTGGTTTTCGGTTGTGTTATGTCTTATCGTAATTGGTATAACCATGTAATTAACTGGTTTATGACATGGTATCAGAGTTAGTTTGTCGTTGAAGTCACTTGTTCAAGTTCTCACGACCCTGAATGTTAACCATTGTCTTTGAAGCACATGTATGGCGCTGGACATGTGCAAACTCAAGTTATTGGGACCAATTTATTAACGGTTATCGATTTTAACCAAAACCATTAATAGCTTATCGATATTTACTCGTTAAAGGAAACTAATAAGTAATAAGCCTTTAAAACTGATTCGATTTTGGTTAAAATCGAAATACCGAAACCGCCACCCCCTAAATCCAATAAACAAATGGGCACGTAAAAAGGGGTATAACCTCTTTGAAATAAGCGTTAGTCGGCACACCCACATGATGCATTGTTGCCCTTTTATCATGTTGGTGAAGATAGATTGCCTAACTAATCTTGATATCTAAATTCCAACAACCACGACCCCAATATTAAAGGAATAAAATAGACATTTTTGCACATAATTTTCCATGAGTGAAGCTCAATGAGAGTGGGGGCCAGGGTAGTAATGAAAAGTTGGATGGGGGGATAAAGAGTTGTTTAAACTTTACAATTGGGATATTAATTATGGAATTACAAACATATTAGGAATGTGATTAATGTGTGCAATACATATAGGATAGGAGCTTATAAAAATGAAAAATGCAAGTTTTTGGTGGGGCAAAGGATGAACGAGAGGGAATGATTCTGATATTCCAAGGGAATCATCATTTCGTGATGGTGAAAGCATTTCTAGTTTCTAGTTTTCTGTAAAGAACACGGGTTTCATTGATAACATGTATAGCTCAAAAGGGTGGACAAAGTTGGGTGAGAAAACTAACCAAAGGAGTTTGTTACTACAACTTATTCTTAACTAAAGCAAACCCCCACGATATGCAACCCTAGCTATAGCATCATTGGAACACTCTTGAGCTAAAGTTTCATGTAAAACTTGTAACGATTTCGAAAATACAAACAATTGGTAAGAATTTGCTATCTCGCCTCCTTTTTGGCCATCGGATTCGAATTCCATGTGCTTCCTTTTTCTGACCGGTGGTCACTTAGATTTTTGGCTACCTCGTTATCTGATTGCTTGTCACAACCAAGTTATTTGGCCTAACATGTGTCACAAAAGGAAGCACAAATCATATGCTAAGACAGGTTTATGATATCATCGAGCGTGCTAGTATGACCACTTGTAAGTTAGTTTCCACTCTAAACATTGCATGCTGACCATTTGACTACAGACTACTAATCTCTCCTTTTCAAAATTTTCATCTCTACTAGGAGTTGGTTGATCGTCATTGATATTAGCTATTACATGATCCAGTTGGTCATTCTCAATCACTCGCTTATATGAGAGAGCGGATCTAATTCGACACATCCCAAGCATACTACATACGAACCTTTGGGTTGTCTTCAAAGAAGTTATCTTTTGGCCTACTCGGAAGCAACATGTCATCTTTCACTCCTCTATAGTTATACTCGAGTTTCGTTTAACTTTACTCCTTGCTCAGCAAAGCGAGTCTTACTCGCAACACAGTACTCCCCCACTTGGGGCGGAGTTGCAAGGTTAGAAGGGGTTCCATGGCACGTCCTTGATTTAGGGGAACATTACAAAACATAGTAGTATTAATATACTCATAATTAAATTCGAACCCTAAATCTCAATGTTAATTGTCATATTTTTATAATCTAAACCACAATCAATTATGTAAATTTATTCTACCTACTAATTTCTACATTAATATAGTCTAGTTTATCAAAATGAATAATATGGTGCAGATTATTAGATGAAATCATGAAACTTTCTATGGTAACGATAGTCGAAACAGAAAAATTGTTCCTATTAATGTATTTGCTTGTGAAACTTGGTTCAATTTGCTACTACCTTTTGTCAATACACATGTTGATATAAAATTTTCTGCAATTGAACGATTGATCGGCCTTCGAATCCAGTAAAAATAATTTGTCATGGTTATTGGGTGGAATAATATTAAGATCGAAATCTTCACAGTTTGGACAAAGTTTTAAAATAACTTCATATTATCATGAGATAGCAACATTGTTTATTGTTCAAAACTTATTTTAATGCACTCCACAAGTAAAATTTGCCACTACACCACCTCTGGCTTCATAAAAATCAATGATGCATACTTAACCTCTACATCTCAATCAATGACTAAATCTCGGCCATAACCCTTCAGCAACGCTTGTATTTGTCTTTACTTATACATTAATTATCTTTCCCAACTCGTACGCTAGGTATAGAATTACTCACAGGTAGAAAACAAGCCCTAGATAGCGTGGCAAATATATGTCATCCTACGATAAGAAAAGGTAAAACATGTTCCCATTACTCGCTGCATTCTCAAGGTTGAATTGAACCCCATAGTCCTATGTAAGGATTGATATCAAATCGGCACGAATACCCAATCCAATCCGATTAAAACACGTAAAATTCAGTGTTGACTAATTTTGATCAGGTATGGGCAAAACTTACTCTTTGAAATCGAAATGTTGAATTTGTATGTGGTTTTGGCTAAAATCTGGTTCGCCTCCCACCCGACCCACATCAGGAAAAGAAAAAGAATGTTGTTTTGCATCTAACCCTAATAATATGAATAGTTTATGAATGTTACTAGTCTTTATAGCAATGTAGTTATAGAAACAATTTGGATAATATAAAAGCGCGAGTGTTCCAATAAATTATTTGCATTTCTGTTCATGAACACATGAGTACCCATGCACACATGAATACCCGCTTGATTGTGATGCGCAGTGGCGGAGGGAGAGGGTAACAGGGTGGGTCCTGGGACCCACCCTGATTCGGGGAAAAATGGTTAAATTAGGTACGATAGTTAATTGATATCGAAAACTAGGTCGCGTTTAATTGAGAATAGTTGGTCGAAAAGTTTTTTGTTTAAATCTTGGCAACCTCATTTCTTAAGTATACGGTATACAGATTTGTGCAAACATCAATTTCGTATAAGTTGACTTTCTTAGAAGGGAGCATTGTAGTAAATGGTATAATATATTATTGAAATCTTCCAACAACTCGATCAATTGATGCTAAATATTTTTTTAAGAACATCATTCGAAAGTGAACGACTAGGTAAATCATGAATTATTGGTTGGTATAAAATTTATTATTAAACCTCTATCAACAACTCGAGGTATTGATACTAACGGTTCTTAACAAAGAACACCATTTGAAACACTACGGCTAACTGAATCAATGATTATATGGTATATATGCAGAGTGATATTCTTGATATTTTCGACTGCTAATTCATTTTAATTTATCAAAAATTTTCAATGTAAGATTATATTAAAAAAACTATTTTATCATATTTATTTTTTTCAAGATGGACCCATCTTAAACGAAAACCTGGATACACCACTGGTGTCTGGTGATGTGTGTTCTCTTTCAGAATTCAATCAATATTTTACCGATGTTCTCGCTAAGTTAGATTCGTGTTTATGTTCATCTCTACCATATGAGGTGTGTGATGACTCATTATACCCAAGAAAAGGGCCCACAAGTGGGAGTCAAAAATGGCCCAAGAAAAGCAGCCATGTGTCCAACCAAAACCTTCATCACTTGTTACCCACATCAAAAATTCATCCTCACAACTCACCACCTTGATGACCCAATTTATTTGGCAACCTAACAAAAACCCCCTTCTTTGTCTTTGCTCACAATTAAGTCCATCTTCTTCCTTCACCACAAACCTCTCTCTCCTTCATGCACTTGACCCCAAACCCTCCAACCAACAATATTTATTTCCCATCCCCCACCCTCCTTCCCTTATGTTGGTACAGACAGTTGTGAAAAAAAAGAATCACCCTTTTCCCTTCTTCCCCATTACAATAATCCACCACATTCAAAACCCCCAAAAGAAAGATTCAAAATCCTCTGCTTTTCTGGGTTATATATACAATTGACCAAACTCCTCAATCTCATTAGCCTAACCCCAACAAACAACAGCAGAAACCAGTCACCAAATCCTCCCCCTCCCTTCACCTTATAAATACACAGATTGTCAGGATGTCAGCTCTCAAGAAGATCATCCGGCGAGCCAAGAGGAGGAGAAGACAGCACCACCAGCAGGAACAGGGGATTGCGATGGATCATCAGGAGGGGATTAGCACTTCCAAGGGTGATGATGTTCATAAAGTAGTGGAAGAAGAAGAGATTAGTGTCGTTAATCATGGGATTAAGAAGAAGGAGAAGGGGATTAAGAGGGAGGTTAGTTACAAGCTGTCGTCGTTTTGGGAGCTGCCAGAGTACATGAAGGACAACGAGTTCATATTGGGTTACTACAGAGCCAATTGGCCTCTCAAGGAGGCACTCTTCAGCATCTGCCGATGGCATAATGAGACGCTGAACGTCTGGACGTAAGTAATTAGTTGATTAATGATGATTTGAAGTGCATTAATTGATTAGTTCTCAACTGGGTTTCATTAGTTCTTGTTAATCTCCCTCTGTGATTAGTGTTAATGGTGGTGGTTTTTGGATCTTGTTTTGGCAGGCATTTGTTTGGGTTTTTGCTGTTTTTGGGGTTGACCATGGCGAATTTGGTGAAAGTGCCTCAAGTCGCGGATCTCTTCGGCTTGTTTACCAGGTTTGTGGATCCTAATTATAATAAGATTAATCATTGTTAACATCGAGTTCCGTGTCATAACTAGTTAGTACGTAATTCCGAGATGGTGTGTTCGAAACTTCGAACTTTTCTGATTTTCCTGCTTGTATTTTCAATCTCGATAGATACGATCATAATTTCGTGTAATTAGTTCGAAATCGCCAACTACTAATCTGATCATGGAAATGGTGCCAAATGAAATGTCATCAGATTTAACATTTTTTGGAACTTTGTTGGGTGGCATGAGATTAGAAGCACATGAATTGCCAGCAGTGTATTAATATATAAAAAAAATTTGTCATGATTTGGGTGCTAGAGCGGCAATTAGCAATTCAATTTTTCTAATTACGGATTTGTATAGTAATTAATCGTCATGATTACTGATTAATAATTGCCTCCCTGTTCTTGTTTGTTTACAGCTCAGTTCTCACGAGCACAGAGAGAAATGCCTCCCATGATTCGAATTATCAGTTATTGGTAAGCGACCTCTTTCCTTTGTTGTTAACTTGTGACCAATCAATAAAGACTTTTCAAGTGAAATACAATTTTTTATTCTTCCTTTTCCATAATCACATTCAATTAGTTTAAGTTTAACACAAGGCACGCCATTTTATCCTATCTTGTTGATGACTTGGAGTGCTAATGTGAAATTTCGACTTATTTGTTTTATCCGATCTGTTTGATATGTTTTAGGTGGGATAGGGTGTATGGATACTCTATTTGATATGCTCTGACACATTTCATTTTTTATTGACTTTTTTTATCTAAATTACATATAATTTTAGTCAAATTACTTATAATTTTAATTTTATAACCTTGTATTTTAGCAATTATTTGATTTTAAGTAGGTGACGCTCAATTCCAATAATAATTTAACTACATATCGTGTCATAGTTTTTTTTTTTAATTTCTGAAAGAAAAAAAAATATTCTTTTTAATTTTTCCCTTTAAGTTACATACTCATATGGGTCGACATACCCTGATCATCACCCTATGATAAATTACTCGACTTGCTACGAGAGAGAGTTGGTATAGATATCGAGATATGACTTTTAGATGCATGTGATATGACAATTATGTGAAAAATTATCACTGTTTTACGACTATAATGAACGTTAGGACGACCTTATTTGATATTACCTAAAATATAAGTATCCAATATGGAGGGCAACCATTTTTTTCGTAACAATGAATGTAACTAAAGAATTATGCTTATTGGAACAAAATCTTTTTATGTCACATGGGACTCATTCATTGACCTAAACGGTAACATTTACCCAACCATGTGTTTGCAGGGCACAATAGACCTAAAGCAAATCTCCCAACAATCAATCCACCGCCACCTCGCCGCCGACGGGACCCCAGCCGCCCGGTGGCCGTTCTACGTCTTCCTCGCCGGCTCCATGTTCTGCCTCCTCTCCTCCACCATCTGCCACCTCTTCTCCTGCCACTCCCACCACCTCAACCTCACCCTCCTCCGCATCGACTACGTCGGAATCGCCGTCATGATCATCACCTCCTTCTTCCCAAACATCTACTACGTCTTCCAGTGCGAGCCCCACTGGCAATTCGCCTACCTCGGCGGCATCACCGTCATGGGGATCTTCACCATCGCCACTCTTTTAACCCCTTCCCACTCCGCCGGAAAATTCAGGGGACTCCGGGCAATGCTCTTCACCTCCATGGGTCTTTTCGGGTTGGTCCCGTCGGTCCACGCCGGGTTGGTCAATTGGTCGAACCCGAAGCGCGATGCCATCTTGTACTATGAGGGCGCGATGGCGCTGTCGTACCTGATGGGAACGGCATTCTACGTGGCACGGGTGCCCGAGCGGTTCAGACCCGGGTGGTTCGATCTGGCGGGCCACAGCCACCAGATCTTTCACGTGCTGGTGGTGCTGGGCGCGCTAGCACACTATGGCGCTGCACTCGTGTTCTTGGAGTATCGTGACCAGGTGGGTTGCTAGCTCGACAAAAAAAAAACTATTTATTGGAAAGAAATTTATTAAATTAAATTAATTAATGTGTAAGATGTAAGTTATTCTTATTATATATTAAAAAAATTGATTTATTATTAGGGGTCAGCATTGTTTATTATTGTTCTGAAAATCCCCCCCCCCCCCCAATATTTTAGTAAAATCGTCATGTTCCTATACTAACAATAATGGATGCTTATGGGATATGATTGTGGTTAATTAAACAAAGGAAGCAACACCATACAACTACTGAAATCATTCAATACCAGATCAACGAAAGTGGGTACGTAATTAAAAACGTAGAAGCAGTGTCAAGAATCCAGACTCCTGGAGATCTTGAAAGTTGATAAATAACGAACACCTGGTATCAGGAAAAGCAAGAATAAGATTATAGTTATAGCAAACATTTTCCTCCACGAGTGAAAGTTGAGACACAATTGAGATTCTACACCTAGGAGAAACCTAGATTCCTCTGATATGGTTATACTTATAGTTGGAAGGGCACATATCACTAAGGGTGGGGTTCCAGATACAAATTTTACTACAGGGGCACAGTACTAACAATCCATAGTTAAAGAGTCATAATTCATAAAGAACTTATTAACTCAAAACAATACAAGAGAAACCCAACACTTCCCAGACCCGCCAGACAAGTTGATCAGCTCCTTCCCCTTAAATAGATAGATAGGTAGGTAGATGGATGGATGACCCCGATTCAAGATAAATTCATAATGGGCATTCGCTAAGCAAAAGTCCTTAATCCGGAAAAGAGATTGAATACCCGGAGGAAGCGTAGCAATAACAGTCTTGAGTAGCAGTAGGAGATTTCGATGGGTTTGCCTTGGTATTGCGTTCATACCGTCGTATGGAATGATCCGAAAGAGAATCCAATACTTCTGAGTCGTGAATATCTGAATAGTACGAACCACCCCCGGATATCTTTGCCCGGGCCTTGTACACAACCCCGTCACACTATAACACCATCATGCTTGCTCCTTAGGACCTGAGCCTTTCATCACCATCTGCTCCCTCTGTTGGTTAAGCAAACAAACAACCACAATGTAAACGATGATCAGAAAGCAGGCCACAGAAAGAAACATGTGAGAAGAAGACAGTAAAATATCTCTCTGAGATTCCATCAACAACAAAAAAATATGTCTCACTGTGATATCTAGTCCTCACATGGCTAATTTCTTTCTTTGTTTCCTAGTCATTATCATTAGTGCATAACTAACCCTAGCAGAGAGTCTCAAGCAGAAATAAGTACCAAGTATTGAATGAGTGTTGCCGTCATCAGTTTCATTGTTGCTCTTGAACCCAACAGCTGCAGCTTCCATCGTACGCAGCTCGCAATTCCTTGAACCTTGGAATCGCAGTAGGCCAGCAAGAGAACTGAGCTAGGAACAAGTTCCAATAACTCAAGAACTCTCTTGCTTCTGCGAAGAGCTCCACCTCTCCCCCTGTCCTCAAATCGCAGGACAAGGCAGCAATCACACCAGCATCAATACGATGTTTGAGGAAGAAAACTTCAGGCTTCTCTGGATGCAAACACGGCCGAAGATAGTGGCGTAGCTCATACAATTCCGGCTTCGTCAGCAACCCGTCCCACAGTTTCCTCCAAGACTTCCGGTCTCGTTCCAGCCTCCAAACACTCGATCCGATCTGTGAAAGACCAGGTCGAAGTAGATCTTCAAATGCAATCGCGTGCAGGGCGCCTTGAGAGACCGAGATATCCCACCCGGGTCTGCAGAACACCTCCGGAACATCAATGGCAGCGGGAGGGATATCGGGGCGGAAAGGATTAAAAGCAGCAATGAAAGGTTTTATGGTGTGGACAGCACCGGGATCATTGCTCGGAACGGCATAGCTCCAAAACAGCTCCCCGTTGCAGGAAACTACATTCCTGTCTATGAATTGGTGATAATCAGGAAGCACAAGAACATCGTTGGTCCATTCTCCGGTATCCGAACAGAACACGTCTAGCTTCGAAGACGATCCATGCCGGTAGAGACGCACAACGCAGAATCGATACTGGGACGAATAAGCAAAGACTTGGTCATCTCCTAGTTCGAGATCATTAACAATGCGGGGTTCACAGACTAACCTTGTGAAGAAATACGAGCACCCTGCTGGCAATTCAGGCGCCAAAGGGAGGGCGAGCCATTGCTTGGTGAACGGATTGCAGACGAAGTAGGTTCTGTACAATTCGCCGCTGGTGGGACCCACATCCTCGAATCCGCACAAGACCAGGTCCTTGTAAGAGTCCATCACTGCAAAGACAGGGATCGGCGGGTCATGGGTATAAAGCTCGTGATGATCGATTGCGGGTCGTCCGAGTGAAGAAGCAGAGGAGGGAGGTTGCTGGTTCCTGCTCCGGTGGTGAGAAACGAAGCGGCGATTGAACAGTACAGGGTCGAAGATGAGAGAGCTCCACCGCTTGCAGACGAGCTTGCACCGGCAGGCGGACCTAGGGTTCGGGTCGGGAGGGCGCGGATCAGAATCTCTACGAGGAGATCGTCTGCCAGTTTCCAGATCGGAGGGTATACTTCTGCTGAATGAATCCGCGGTCGTTGGCTGGAGCTGCAAGGCATAAAACTTGAGCCTAGCCGGCGACCCAGAGCCGAGGTGTTCTTATCGGCCGCCATGGTCATGGAGGAAGACAGAAACAAACGAGAGTAAGGATGTCAGACCACCGGATACTAGGAAAGAGATCGAAAGCCCTAATCCTTTTGCCAATCGAAATCCCTAATTTATCTTTTGGATATTGGACTGTTGATTAATGGGCTGCCTTTCATTTTTTATTTTGGTTTCTCCAATCAAAAAAACCTTCAGGGCTGTTATTGAATATTGATGTTATGTTTCTCATATATACTAGCACCGGGCCCGGCCCTTGGCCGGGAAAGTTTAGACAAAAATATGATAAGAAAATAAGACATATGATTTGAGAAAGAAATACAATTGTTCGAAAGAGAAAAGAAAAATATATACATATAATTAGTTTTCGCTACTTAAGAAGGCCATATAGTTCAAGATTAAAGTTGCTTCCCCTAAAATATACATAATGAACCCTCAGGAGGAAAAAACGATTGGTCTCTGATAGAATTCAGTATCTCTCTATAGTGCTTATCCCAGTAGCATCATCTTTGTTAATCACAGCGCACGCAATGGATATGAATTTGTATGATTTGAAATATGTCGGACATGATCCAAAATTGTCACTAATAGTGAGTTGGACAATGTATTGTGTACCGGTGAAGTACTCCCAAATGACTTTTATGTTCCGGATATGGCCAACAACAATGTAGTTGTTTTCCTACAATGAAAGTTTATTTTAGAATGAAATAAGTTAAAATAATGAAAATGTATGATTAGTAGAAAAGCATTGAATAGAGGGTGATAAAAAATGTGGTTTCAGAATCTCCTTAACATGAATGAAGAACGTAGGCGCAATACAGTTAGGTATGCAATTGAACACAATTTTGCGCATTCTGTGGCAACTTCATAGGAGTCATCTTTTATGATGTATTTGACTTTTCTTACTCTAACATAAGAAATGACATATACCCGAGGTTTTTTTTATAACTATGCACATGTATATAACTTTTTTGCATAATGAAATTTATTCATGAGTTTAGCAGTGGGTGCAATGAAGGCCGATTCAAGTTGAAAAATACCTTGGATGCTGAGGATGACGCAAGTAATACTTGCCTAACAATGATGAAGCAGCTTAGTGAAGAAAAGATGTTCTTCTACGGGAGAAATGAAAATCAGATTGTGCAACAGTAAATGAAGCCTTAGAAATGGCACACATCTTGTTTGGTCCACATACACTGAAGTAATTGCACATACCACCGTTGATTGAGATTGAGCAAATATGAAAGCTTCAAATTCATAAATCAAGGAGCCTTTCAATACCAATATGAATCACAGGGTCCCAAATTAAAAATACATGAGGAAATAAAATGACTTTGACATAACATGTGAAGTATGGAAGTGAACATCAAAGTGTTGCCTATATAAAAGTTGAGAAATGATAGCATGAGAGTTGGTTCCTATGATAGGTACATAATCAATCTTCACAATAAAAGAAAATTATTGCCTTTGATAAAGTTCAATGTATCCCTGAAATTATCCCCCATTTTTATCTTCTTTTAACGGGAGTGAGCATGTTGGAGACTATCACCAGTACTTAACAAAAAAATGTATTGGTTTCTAGTTGGTGTTTAAGCGAAATATCTTTAACACGATCAACAAAAATGTAGCGATTGCCATGCAGCTCTCACATCATGGTGATCATAATTCTCAAAAGAGCCAATTCAAATACGGGAGACGTACTAAAGTAAGCACTTTATGCCACAAACACACAATCAATTTGTGAAAAATATCATTTTCCAAAGAAGATTCATGGTTTAGAAGAAAAAATATCTCATGAATATTTAGAAAGTAATACGGCCATTGGAATAATGAACTTTAGTGCTTCATTTGGTGTCAATAGCCATGGTTACTTAATGTTAGATAATAAGTAAATATTTTCACATAAATGAAAATTTTGAAATCCATAACTATACACATTTATATGGGTAAGTTTATACACATTTCTAACACCAAACTAAAAGACACTCAATAATGCACTCTGTACTCGACTTTGACCACCTGATAAAATATACATTTCAACCAATTGACACTAATACCACAAATAGGAAATGTACTTCTGAACCATACATTAAAGCTTTCAACAATCACAAATATTATAAATTAACTAATTATTATAAACACAAATGTTATGAACAAACTAATTATTATATATATTATAAAATAAAATTCATTCAGGTCACATATTTAGTGTACAGGTCTCAATTTTTGGTTCACGTTTTGGCCCATGGGTCACATACACTTTTATCACAGCAGATATGCGTCCACTCCATTAACCCTTCTCCGTCACAAAACACGTTAAGAATTTACCAATCATCGGAGTAAAAAACAAAATCGACGTTGACCCATCAGATGTAACGTTATCGGTTATCTTAGTTCAAGGATAGTCTTCCCGATGGGAACTCGGAATGAAAGGGACTGCGCCGGGGAAGATGAAGCCGTCGACGATTTGCTAGGGAGTCAGGATGGTGAACGACGAACACGACACGTAACTGGGTTCTCTTCATTTGCTGGAGCTTGGTCGATTTTACTCGATCAGTATACGCCGGCGGATGGAATGAAGAGCACGGAAACAACGACACGAGTCCTGAAGCTTGTTGGAAAATTCCGAATCAGTCTCATACTCTCATCAGTGATGCGATGCCTGATTACAAAATTTACAATACGCTCACGAAGCACCGAGCTGGGCTCGAAAAAACGGTGGGCCTCATACAGGGTTTTGGGCCCTATGAGGCAGGCCTTCTCCTAACAGTTTCAGTTGGTCAGATGCTCGGTGGAGGAGTCAATCAAAACGCACAGGGTCATTTAATTTAAGTTCAATGACAAAAATGCCCCTCCGTGAAGTGAAGTGCTCTAAGGGCTGGAAATTCAAAATGCTGCAATCCCAACTCATGAATCTCCTTTATATCTTTTGTAGACAAGGGAACTATAACAAATTCCTAACTAACTGGAATTGGTTAAATAGAACGAATCTTACCAAATGACTAAACTTAACTAGTCTAAGCCAAATTTGTACTCAGTATGAAAAATCGGTTATCGCTAAATCTAATATGTTTTGGATTTGACGTTGCATTTTGGAGGAATGATCATATTCTAGCTAAAAGAAAGGAGGGTTAACATATTTGTATAATCTGAAATTTGCATATAATAAATATTCTGAATAATCTTTTTGATCTATAACATCCTGGTCTAAACTATACATGAGAGTAACGAAATTTGTCAAACCCGATGTTTGACCGTTATCTTGGACGGTCAAACGCATTGACTAACGGTTAATGTGTCATGTCACTGCCAAGTCAGCAACTTTTACTTAATTTCTTTTATATTTTCCACCTATTAACATTTTATTTTTCATTTTGAACCAAAAGAAGAAAAAAAAGTAATTTCATTTTGAACCAAGAAAAAGAAAATGGTAATAAGTGGAAAATATTAAAAAAATTAAGTGAAAGTTGCTGACATGGTAGTGACGTGGCGCGTTGACTGTTAGTCGACGCATTTGGCCAACCAAGATAACAGTCAAACATCGGGTTTGGCCAATTTCGTTACTTTGATGTATAGATTGGGTCAGGATATTATAGATAAAAAAGATTGGCCAAAATATTTATTATGTACAAAGTTCAACGAAGATAACTCAAGAACTTAGTACTCAAATTACCAGTGAAATGAATGACTCAAATGAATATCTGCCTAGGTTGATAGAGTATCTTCAATTGAAGGTAGCGAATTGGTGACTTTAGTCGAGGAGCCAATTCGCTATTCTGTACCGAATTCAATTCGGTAGTGGAGGTTTGGTTCGTTAAGGCCTCAATCTGTTTACTCCGGTGGAGGTTAGTCGCCCGCTAGAGACTCAGCTTGAGAGGGTCTGAAGACCTTTAGTCGAGACTTCAGACTATTTGAGAACCTTCCGCAGTATAACTTTCATGAAAACTGAACTTGGTAAATTGCAATCCGACTTAACTGCAGTCTAGGGGGAACCATATCCGGGTGACCTCTCTTGACTTGAACAACCGTTTAACTTGCTTTGTGTTTTTGTTTGCTTGAATCTGCACTAAAAGTTCACTGCTAGATAACGAGAATTCACCGAGTAGTCATCAAATCTAGGACCTGGGTTGACAATAAAAGTCAAACCCTCTATACTATGCTTTAGGAAGTGGTTACACTTGGCCATTTTCTAGAGTGACAGTAGGAGTGAGCCAAGTTTTTGGCGCCGTTGCCGGGGAAGGCTAGGTTGTTGAAGAAAAGTGATTTCTGTTACGTTAGCATTTTCATTTTCGCATTGAGTGTTTGTTCTTTCCCACTTGTGCCTTCACGGGTTTGCATTGCTTGATTGTGTGCAGATAGTGCATGACCCGTAGCCAGTTGGGAGGTTTACTGGCGTTGGATCCTGAGATTGAACGCACCTGCAACCAACTTCGGAGACAACAGCGAGCTAGACTGGCTACGGTGGAGCGCAGAGACGGCCAATTGAGCAGCGAGTCCGAGGACGAGTACGAGATGGAAGGCGATCACGACCCACCTCCGGCGAACCAGCTCCTGGGGAACGACCCCAATCCCCAGGGAGTTGGGGTCCATCATCATCCACCACCACCGGGTCCCACCTTGGAGTACTACTATACTCCACGGATTGTTGACATCCGCCCGGTCATCCTCTATCCACCCATTCCAGCAAACAACTTCGAGATCAAGCCATGCTGGATTCAACTCATTACATCCTCTATCCAGTTCCATGGCTTGAAGGATGAGGAGGCCCGGGTACATCTTTCCCGTTTTCTGCAGCTGACGAACGGGTTCAAGCTGAACGGTGTCCCGGATGACGCAATCCGCCTTCACCTCTTCCCCCATTCTCTGGTGGGGAATGCTAAGAGGTGGTTGGAGACCCAGCCCCTATAAATTGTTTAAGTAGCTAGAACTAGGTGAACCTAGAG